CTTTGTGAGATGCACAGGTTTTTCTCAAGGTCAGAAAGAAACTTTGATTTTTGTTAGGGCTAAATGATAATAATTCATGCGCAGAGTAGCTCTGTGCCTTGGAATTAAATATACAAATGGTTCCTGAAAGGGGAGAACCAGTAAATATAGTATAAAATTACTCATGTAAACTATTAGTCATCAAATATGTATGACCAAAAGAAAACGAGGATCAGCATATAGTGTATTAAATATACTGTCAGATGTTATAAAGTTTATTACAGAGCTGCATTAGCCAGAATTTTGAGCAATCAGAGAATACTGATAGCCGTGGAACAGGCTGAGTTTTTAAAACTACATTTTCATTTGGTCATCATGGACCCCAGATTGGCCCAGTCATCTGATACCATTTTTAGCAATGGTGTGGCACACTTAACAGCAAAGTGGTAAACAAATAATGAACTCTGCCCTAGATCTTGTGAAAAAATTAGTACTGCAAGAAACTCAGTATGTAAAAATTAATAAACAATGTTGGCGTTATAAAAATGTGTAATGTCTTCCACCTTGCTGAGGTTGGCAAAAGGGCAGATATAACTCATCAGAAACCTTAATGCCTTCCTTATATGTATCAATTGCATATGGCCAGCCCATGAACTGCTGTCATAAATAACGTGATCCTCAACTCATTTCACAAATGTGAAAGCAAGGAGAAGGAAAAGGCAGCTCTTTCCCACCTTTCCCTTCTCCATGACCCACAAACAACTGGTGCTGAAGGCCAAAGGACCCTTGTGAACAAAATGGATAGGGAAAAGTATTGTGAGAGCAGACAGCTTGCTTAGCCTAACTTCCTAAGTTAACACAAGAGATACAGAATTACTTTCCTTACTTCTCCCCCTCTTTGCCACCCCCTTGGACTGCAGGTCATTTTGTCTACAGAGAGCCCTTGGGCCACACCATTGGCTTTTGCAGGCACAGCAGTCTTCTTGGGAAAGGAAAAGGGAAGTGGAGAAAACTTTGCCTCTGTCATTTCCTTGTGCTGCTGACTTGTAATTATTCATTTGGCCATTTTTATGAAAGAATGCTAGTGAGAAGCCGATGGTATCAAAAACTATTACGTCCCTTCACCAGCTAAGAATTTCAGTTGCAGTCATGACTGACTAAGGAGATACAGAATACCTTCCTTTTTAGATAACAGTACTTTGGCTTCTCTAACTGACTAGACAAACTCATAATGGTTGTGATGATGGCTTAGACTAGACACTTGAGATAGGTTATGCTGACACTGATACTTACATATGTGGCACATGAAAGCCCCAGTTCTTTGTTTCGCATCCTTTCATTTAGAGTAGCTGCTCTTCCCTTAACCCAGCACTGGTTTCATACACAGGTACAGCGCTGGTTTGATACATGCACAGATAAAACCCTAATCTCACATTAAAAGAGCTGAAGTCCCTCAGTAACCCTTCTTTTTTAAGCCACTATAGGATATGATGATGCCCACAAATTTAGTTGGCTTTTTAAAGGCATCAGACGACTTCATGAGTCCATCTGTAGCTGTTAGTGACAGTGACTAAAGGGAACCCTCAGGAACCTGCTGAATATCAGTGCTGAAGGGTAGCAACAAGGCCTCCATTTCCTGCTTGTGGGCCATTTAGGGCCATTTCAGGGCCTTGTGAAAAAGGATGTTGATCCAACAACAGCCATTCTTATATTATTGTGTGAAGCTAATTTACAAAAGTTCATTTTCTTCACAAGGAAGCTTAATTAAGCATGAAAATATGAATTGTTGCTTAAACAGAGAAAGTGATTCTTTTCCTATCTAAATGTCTTTTGGTTAAAGTCCAACAGTTGCGAACCTGTTTACTTCTTCCACCTTTGGGCGAAAAAAGAGGGAGTCCTTTTCTAAATGTTCTGCCTTGCGGCTATTTGTAGGTTGTGTCTTCCTACTGACAGCCATGTACCCACTGGGATGATAAGAACCCACAGGAACAGAGGCCTCCTGCACAAGGGGACCAAGTTAACATCAAAACCCCCATTAAAAAAAAACCAACCTTCTGCTACCCAATTAACCAGAGATATCTCTTTAGCTGACCAAAAGACTTTAATAAATCAATCAATCAATCCAACCCATAAATTGACTAGTTAGTGTTGCCCTACTGATTATATACACCTTTCCATTTTCACCAGTGGAACATTTGTGATCTGATACCTAATATTGCATATCAGACTGATAACTGATCAAAGAAATGTCATGATGACCTGCCTTTTAACTGACTAATGTATGACGTCTAAATGCATTTGTCTATTACTGAAACTTCAGCAAAAGTTCTGTTTGGATATACTGAAGGAAACGTAAGCTAAGGTATGGCATAATGAGCAAAGGTCATCATACATTGTTGGCAAGATCATTGGAATGTTTTCTTTTTCCATTCCCTATTGCAGTAGCACAACCAGAACAACATGTCCTCCTCTGTGTGTGTGTGTGCCTTTAACTGCAGCATATCAATTGAGCTTCACACGCACTGATTAAAATTGGCAACTGATCAGTCAAAAAAAAAACTCCAGTTGATTTAATCTACTGATTAAATCAATTAAAGAATGCAGCCCTACTTGCATTCAAAATCTACAAAAACATACATCCAAACAATGTTCCATTTCACATTCAAAACTATGTTCCATTTCACATTCAAAACTATGTTCAACTGAGATCTCGACTAAGAAGTCTCATTGCTGCAAGTTACCTATAAAAAACAACTTGTTCTCGGAATTTTTCACTCTTCAGTCTAACCAACTTGTTCTCGGAATTTTTCACTCTTCCGTCTATGATTAACGGTAAGAGATCTGAACTGGCCCTGCTTTTTCCACGTTCCAACCCAGTGATCAATGGAAGACAATGTGCACACTGTGTTATTTCAGAATAGTGAGCAGCCAGTAGCTGTACCAATGTCAACAACAAGTAAGATGACAGTGGAAACTGGTTCAGTGCTGAAATTCCACTAGGACATGCTGCTAGAAGATGAAATTCTGCACTGTACTGGGAAATTCAATATACTTGGCAGATATAAAAGGTCACCTCATTGGAAGGGACCTGTTTCATACAAAAAATGATGGAAATGCCAACTCTGTCATTCTTTCTCACCTTCCAGTACCTTCTGTCAACCCTTTAACTTTGTGCTTTTAAATATACCGATTGGTCCTGGAAAGCCTTCCACCAAACTTCATTATACACTTGTGCTGCCTGTGTCCTTCTCTCAGGCATTGCCAAAGAGGCTGATCATTGCACTGCCTTCCATAGTTCTTCCTCTGTGAGAGAACCCAGATGCCTTCAGCCAGTAAACAATATGGGGGAAGGTTCACCATGGATTTAAACAGCGCAATTTCCCTTGAGATTTTATTAATCATATGTCCAAAATCGGCCTGCAAGGACTCCTAGGGTTCGCACATTGTTGAGAAGCATGTGAATAAAAACAACCATTTCAGCAAGTTACAGTGCCATAATGGCAGTTCACTTTTTAAGTGGTTCTGAAACATTGGGTTTACAATAAATATTAATGCGTGTTGATATGAAACAACATTTGATCCTTATTGTTTTCAATCAACAATGACTTATGACTAAAGGCACTGGTTGTGCATTTTATGGAGCATGTACTCTTGAATTCTTGTCCATCACAGAATTATTATGAAGACACATACACAAGGCTCCTTCCAAGCTCCACACATATGACCAGTAACAGATTACTATTCCTTCTTTGCCATTAATGTATGCCAAAGGAGTAGACTTAATCCACTTTTCCTTACCTTAATTATTAGTAAGGTGGCTCAACTGTACTAAATGTGCAGTGAATGAAATGAAGACTGCACCTTAACTTTATGTGGATATGATGAGTCAGAGCTGCTAGATATAACTGGGGACATGAGAGGATAGAGTGCAGGAAGAATGAAAATAAGTTTAACAATTACTTAGCAATGGGGCATATGAAATTACCCAGTAGATCCAACTTCCGTGCCACAAAATCCTTTCTAAAACAAACCACCTTTAACTGTTTCACCCTCAGATATTCCAGCTTTTTTTTTTACTTGCCAATGTACACATACCTCATTCTTTGAAATCTAATTATTCACTGTACATATACATAGAATATGTTTTAGTTCTGATTTGTCATCCTTCAAGTGCTGTCCAGCTTAACATTTTTTACTTATGTTGCCATTTAAAAAAAAAAATGCTGTGTCCAGAGGAAGTCTAGGAAGACAATCTTGCTTTATTAAAGGTCTACTCCTGAAGACTCAGTGTGGGTAATGGCATGGAAACATGAAACTGCCTTATATTGAGTCTATCCATTGGTCTGTGGAGGCCAGAACTGTCTAGTCTGTGTTGTAATGGCTCTGCAAGATCTTAGGCGGAGGTCTTTCACATTGTTTCCCATCTGATCTATTTTCAAACTGGAGGGGATTGAAGTTGAGTGTCTGCTGAGCTAAACCCCCATATTTCATTGGTCTTCATAACAGCTCTGCAGTGTAGGCCACAGTGACTGCAGTATTACAGATGAGGAAGCTCAGGGTGTGCATGAAATGCCATATTGAGGGGGCATACTTGGAGAACTCACTGGCCTCAAGAGGGAAAAAAAGAACTGATCCTTATGACCTTTCATCCAACAACTCCATGACGTCGTTGTTATTGATTAACGTGTTTGGACACCCCCCCTCTCCCAAGTAAGGCGGTGCCTGATTTCTCACTGCTTCCTTGGAAGAAGCCCCTGGAAGGGCAGCCTGCCTCGTTACCTTTTAAGAACAGGAAAGGCAAAAGAGGAGGAACAATGCACAGAGAAAACAGAAGGGGGGGCAGCTCGGGGGGGGCGTGGCTCGGCGTGCCGAGATCGGATAAATAGAGAGCACTTCAGCGAAAAGCGCCGAGGACTAGCCCGGACTGAGAGTCAGCACCGCGGACAGCGACACCCAGCAGCAACAGTAGCCCTTCGGCGCTTTCTCCTCCTTTCTCTCCGACACTGTCCCAGGCGCACGTCATGGCTGTGGAAACTTACCTGCAAGGAGCGGAGATCTCCGCATCCCAGTTTTTTGAAATCTGGCACCATTACGACTCTGACGGTGACTCCTTATCCTTCTTCTTTCCTGTCCCAGCTTGGAACCCAAGCGGGGGTGGAGGGGATTTGAGGGCCGGGCTAGACTTGGGGGAGGCAGAGAAAGCGGCGGAAAGTGCTTTCGCCTGCCTCTTCCTCTTCTGCAAGCAGGAAACTTTGCCCGGCGCCCGCCAGAAGTTTTTTTGCCTATCATCGGGAACGACGGAAACATTTGCTGTGCTGGCAGCTGGAGAGGGCTATTATGGACCATACTCGGTTCGGGCTGCTTTGGGAGTCGCCTACTTTGCCTACCCTTGTATCCTGTATCTAAAAGTCGAAGCGTCTCCAGACCGTTTTTTAAGAGAGGGGAGGGAGAGAAATACCAAAACCCAGTATCCAGCACTTAGGGAGTGGGACAAAACAGCTTAAGCATATTGACAAGCATGTGCGATTTCCAATGCATCTTCTATAAATGCCATTTTCTGCAGGTGAAGGAGAGCGAGAAAAACCGTCTACAGCTGTAACAGCAATTCGCTCTCTCTTTGTGTTTCAGGCAGTGGCTACTTGGATGGCAAGGAGCTCCAGAAACTTATCCAGGACCTGCAGCAGGCACGAAAGAAAGCAGGCTTGGTAGGTCAACATTTCCCCCAGCTTTAAATTTTTTTTGTCTCCACTGAAAAAATATATATCTTGCTGTGAACTCCAGCAGCCGGATAGCTGTGGTCAAAATAAGTAAAATGTAAATGAATTAAATAGAACTGACAAATCCAAAAGCAGGAAATTCAGTGAAGTTAGGGAAATCTGGATGAGACAGTCTAGATAGCAAAGGCTGTAATCCTAAAGACACTTTCTTGAGAGTAAGCCCCACTGAATAACATGAGACTTCCAAGTGCACTTGTGGAGCATTGCTCTCAAAGTCACTTTTAATTACTTTCACCTTTCTTCTGCAGTAGATCACCCTTGGAAGGCAATATTTTTTTAAAATGTTCCTTAGTGTATTGTTTGTACAGAAACAATTGTTTGTTTACTTCCATGGATTTTGCAGAAGGGGCAAAGGAATATTAAAAATGAGTCAGCTACATCCTTAATATGTGGGCTGAAATACATTTCTGCCCCTTGGTGGCCAATAAACAGATGTGCCGAAGCTCTAACTAGATATTAATTGAGGGTATGAAACTGGAACATTTGCATGAAGAGGGGTGTATCTGGGCTTGTGCAGGGGAATAAAAAGTTTTCCTAAAGACTTTACAATGGTAATATATCGATGTATTGTTTAGGAGTTAAAATTGTAAGAGTTTCAGCCATTTCAAGAGAATTTCTGAATGGAGTAACACATTTTAATTGGCTTTGCATGCATTGAAATAAGAAATGGGATATATTAGCAAAGGAAAGAATACGAAGGAAGACTTGTTCATGAATGAATATGAAACTGCCTTATCCTGAATCAGACCACTGACCATCAAGGTCAGTATTGTCTACTCAGATTGGCAGTGGCTCTTCAGGGTCTCAGGCGGAGGTCCTTCCCATCACCTATAACCTGGTCCTTTTAACTGGAGATGGTGGGAACTGAACCTGGGACCTTCTGCATGCCAAGCAGTGGCTCTACCACTGAGCCACAGCCCCCGCCTCTCAATAAACCACTCAAAATAACAGGATAAGAATTTATTTTATCCTTATCAGGCTAACCCATGCATCTCATATGGTGAAAGTCCATCGTGAGAGGATGCAGTGGCTCTTGAAATAGGAGACCACTCATTTTATGAATTTGTAAAATATTTATTAATTTCCTCTGTGAGATTAGTCCAGATTTAGAATACATTTGAATGGTTCAATAATAATGTATGAGTTAGCTGCACAGCTGAAAATATGAATCTCAGCTATAGCTGTATACTTGGTTCTGTGCCGTATCTAGATAACAATTTTTTCTAGATGTTTACTCTAACATCTTAAAACTTAAAAGGCTGATATAAAGGACCTACATTATAATTATTTGTCACTATTTTGCAAATGAAGTGCTTGACTTAGATACATTTTACTAGTGTGTGCTCACTTTATCTTCTGCAGTATGAGTCATTAGAAGTGCATCCCTTCAAAAATGAGATAATTTTATTTTTAGAAGTACTTTGCATTAAATCTATCCCCTGTTCACAAGTCCTTAGAAGTTTTTTTTAAAAATTACTCTGTATGAGTTAGAAAATCTTTCTCCCATTTTCCCCCTATTTGAAATTTGTGTCAAATCTACTTCTACTTAAAAAAATTAGAAGGCTATCATATAAAATCTTAATAGGCCTCCTCTTGAATGTCACCCACGTTATCATTTATGCCTTTTAATAGATTCTGCATGTGTGCCTACTTGTGTTTTGAAAGTGCTTGGGTGTTCTTATTCAGTTTTCCATCCACCACTTCTATAAAAGACTGTTTCTGAAATCTTCTGGAAAGAAGAGCACCAAACTTCACAACTCTCATTGGATCATCTATACCACTTTGATCCTTGAACTTTCCTTCTAGATTAGGGATATGTGCCAAATCAAAATTAATTATTTGATTTAGGGACTAATGTCCCAAACAAGCCTCTAGTAAATTCATCCACCTTATCCGACTCAATACCGTTTCAGTGGCTTTTAATTCCTAAAGGCCTCCTTTGCCAGAAGGAAAACTTGAGAAATCAATGGATATTCCATGTTCCCTCTAAGCTGTAGAGTCCTTTAAGCAAAAATTCTACTTTGTGAGCTCCTGGCATTAAAGTTGTGAGTGAGCCATTTGGATACTGCATACATTAGTTTGCTCTGGAGCCATCCTTCCTGAGCAGAGACAAAAATGTGTGAGCCAGGGGCTAAAAAACTGTGAGCTAGCTCACACTAACTCAGCTTAGAGGGAACACTGCCATGTACATGTGGGGATTCTGTGCTGTTTAGTGTCCTCAGATCTACTTTGATTTGCCTTCACATTTGAGAAAGTTTCACATCTTTTTCTTTTGCACTTGCATCTTGCATCACTGTATTTAAAATCACATTCAGACGATAGATGCGGTTATTCTTTTTCCATATGTTTAGGGTGTAAAATATAAATATTTAACTTCCCCAATACTCTTGTCACCTTCTATCATTATAATTTTGCCTTTTTTAAAATTAGGTTTTGGCATAGGCTTGGTGAGTAGGATTAAGGTAACATCTGTTTGTTTGTTTCTTTGCTTTATACCCCACCTTTCTTCCAGGGAGCTCAGGATAGCACATAGAGTTCTCCCCTCATCCATTTTATCTTCACCACAACCCTGTGAGGTAGATTAGACTGAGGGAGAGTGACTGGTAGAGTGGGGATTTGAACTTGGGTCACCTAAGTTTTAGTCCAGCACTCTAACCAATCAAATATTCATTGCTTAATTTTTTGGTCTTCTAAAATATTTATTATTTCTGCCACCGTGCCTTCAAGATAGGGCTGAATATAAAACCAAATTAATGCATTAAAGAACCTTGTGCAGCTGCATTTCAAGAGGCTGCCAAGGAATAATTTGCATAGATGAAATTAAAAAAAAAAGATGGACAATCCAGGAAAGTTGGTGATTATTTCCCAATATGCCATTGCAAAAAAAAATAATTAATAATTCTCTGCAAACATAAATATTTGTGTCAGTGTAGAACCCACTAACAATATGCATGGGAATTTGTGTGCAACCCTGGCACAGATTTATGGGGAGCTTTCTAATGTGCCTGCACAAAAAAAAACATGTTATGTGCAGATGTTGGCACCAGTGTTCCCTCTAAGCTGAGTTAGTGTGAGCTAGCTCACAGTTTTTGAGCCTCCGGCTCACAGATTTCTGTCTCAGCTCAGGAAGGAGGGCTCCAGAGCAAACTGATTTATACAGCAGCCAAATTTCTCGCTCACAACTTTAATGCCAGCAGCTCACAAAGTGGAATTTTTGCTTACAAGACTCCACAGCTTAGAGGGAGCATTGGTTAGCACACATGCATTGTCCCTTGAAGTGGGCTGAACGGCATGGTGGAAAATCAAACATTTACTATTATAAAGTTAAACGGGACCCTGGGAATTTCAGCCAGAGATGGCTGAAGGCAAAATGAAGTGGTTTTAAGTCTCCATAGGAAGCTTGATTATTTGTTGTTGCTTCACCCTACAATCAGTGCTGCAATTCTTTCTAATTCACCTATATACTTGTTCTTGAGATCATTTTTAAGCAAAATAATTCACAGAATACATCCAAACAACTCTTTTGTACAGAGTGGAAAACTGATAGGAAAACAGGATGCCATTTCATGGACCAAGAAGGCTTTTATTTAGATTGGGGAAAAATATTCTATCATTTGTTGAATATTATTTTATATTTTTGGAGTCAGTACCATTGCCTAATTTTGTTAAAATCAGTTAAATAAATACTTATGGAATTCTCCAAATGGGCATCTACATTCATGATGCTTTAAATCATAGTAATCTTGTAACCAGGGAAGGTGATGGTCACCCTGCCAGGAAGGGCATCACATAATCTGGGGGGCCTTCCAAATTTTTTCCCTTGGAACTCACATACTTTATCTTTACAAGAAAAGAATGGAAAGTGGATGGAAATATCTAACCAGGTCTGAAAATCCATAGAGAGGATATCTCCTGTGGCAGTCTCTAACTAATAGGCAAATTCTGAAAATGCATTAGTATTAAGACAGCCATTGTGCATAAATGCTGTGAAACGGCCAGGAAGAATTCCTGGTGACTCTTGGAAAAAGATTTGCCCGAGGGTTTGTTTACAGTAGCAATTGATACTTTTTAGTTATTTATGTAGACAATATACAGGCCAGCCTGTCCAGAGAACCTTCTCGAGGCAAATTACAAAGCTAAATTGATTAAAACAGCACAAAAATCATCTCCAGTTGAAAGGACCGGGCAGGAGGTGATGGGAAAGACCTCTCTGCCCGAGACCCTGGAGAGCTGCTGCCAGCCTGAGTAGACAAAACTGATCTTGATGGAACAATGGTTGATTTCATATACATTCATATACATTCATGAACAAGTCTTCCTTCACATTAGCCCTGACCTGGATAGCCCAGGCAAGCCCAGTCTCATCAGATCTCAGAAGCTAAGCAGGGTCAACTCTGGCAAGTATTTGGATGAGAGACCTCCTTGAAATTCAGCCACCTCTCTGAAGCTCCTCCAGGCTCCCAGTAGGGGTCAGTCACCAGAGGTTGCCATGACTTCCAGGTGCACACACATGCACGTGCACACACATATAAAAATACCAAAAAAATGTCTTATTTCATATTCCAGCTATTATTCCTTGATGGATCAATGGTCTGATTCAGTACAAGGTAGCTTCATGTGGTCGTGTGGTCATGTGATGCGGTCTGTAGCACAGTTTTCTTCACTAAGGATATAGGAAGCATCTTAAGAAAAATAAGTGCCATATGCTGCATCCTGAAGTCAGCATGCTTGCTGTGGAACTGATGAACAGGGCACAGGGAAGAGTGCTTTTGTCAGGGATTCCTTGTAAATACAACTGAAGAAAAAAGTCCAATTCACACCCAAACTTTTTTTTCATAGGAGGGCCACTTTCATAGTTGTAAATAGCGGTCTTATATTCATTTGTACCACACATTGAAAATCCCAGTTCTTCCTTTGGAATAAGTAGTACAAACTTCAGGCTAAAAGAACTGCACAGAACTCAATAGTGCAGAAAAATCTATCAGCCCAGTCCTGTAGTCTCAGAAGTGAATTAATTAACACATTTATACCCTGCCTTTCTTCATGTTTCAAGGGAACTTACAATGGTAGTAAAAAAAACCCTGCAAAGCATTTCCAGCTAAAACTAGAACAAAACCAGAATAAAATAAATCCCAAATCTCTGATTTCAGTGGATGAGTTCAATGGAACTAAATCCCAAGAATTTCATCCTAAACCCCATAGACACTTACTCGGGAGCAGTCTCCTTTGAACTCAGTGGGCCACAGTAAACGTTCACACAGTGCTCAGTCGATAAAGAACCACCTACAAGTGTGATTCATCTTCTTTTGAGCATCTTCAAGAACTTCTCATTCCTGGGGATTGACCTAGGAAGGGGGTGGCAGTTCTGTTTTGTAGCCGGCAAAAATTGTACTAAAATAAGTACAGCTTATCTTCTGGAGTACAGTGTATCATAAATGTGCATATGTTACAGTGAGTGTCACAAATGTGTCCTATCTCGTCGTTCACATTTCAGTACTCATAACCTTGCTCAATATATGAGGGTTCTTCATTACATGTCAGAAAGGGACATTCTCCCCTCGAAGGCCACCTATGTGCCTTGGTTGCATTTTTAGTTTTATATCTAGTTATATACATAGGATATGATTTGGGTATTAGCTCGGTCACCAGTCTATCTTATATAAAGGTTGGTATTAGCAGTCACTTCGGGGCTGACTAGATGGTTGCATTATAGTTTATTCTTGGAAATTTACAATGGGTTCTGTGTTTATGATTTTATGTTTGGAGTATCAAGCTCTGTATTGGCAATTATTTCTTGTATGTATAACATTGCCGTTATTCTACTGTGTTTCTCTTAATAATTTTTTTTTAAAAAAAATATGAACATTCAGAGATACACTGATGAATGCTGATAACAATCTGAGCGTGAAACTATCTTTTTGGAATGTGAAAGTATATACATGTATCCTTTTAGACATCCACCCAGGATTGTCAGCATTCACATGTGAATATCTGCAGTCAATACATTTTGGGCATTCATTGTAACCTTGTGAATTTCTGATTTTGTTCTGAATATTTTATGAATAAATGACAGAGATTCGATACTGGAGACACAGTACCAGGAAAAATGTGAACATTGCTATTGGGAAAGGGGGTACATGCACCCATGGAAAGCTTCTTCAACTCTTTTCCACATTTTTTCTTACCTGTTCACAGATAGTTTCCTTAATACAATGTTGCTTTAGATGCATTTTTAAAACAAAACCCTGAAAGGGCCTTTTTAGTGTGTGAGCCTATGCACTGAGGCATCTCACATGTAAACATGGCACCACACAGCCAATCAGATTTGGCAACAAGATGATATCTCTGGAAACAAGCATAATCCCCTCGTTGCTCTCTATCTGAGTGGGAGGGAGAAGGCAATCATGATGCTCAGCCCAATCAGGTTGATGCTTCCTGTCTTGCTATATTGCATTGGCAGTTTCAAAGCACAGGAGCCCTGCATGGCAAAGACTTTTGCAATTCTGTTTAGTTGGGCATAGTTTTACATAACTAGTCAGGACATGCATGGGAATAGGCATTTGGATACAGATGTTATCCTTTCATGCGGCTTTACTTCCAATGGGATGTGCATCTGAATGTGCATCCTGTTCAAGTTCTGTCCCAACTACATATGACTGGATTGGTACAAGGGAGTATTGACCTTGTGGGCCTGAGCAACAGGGTATGCCTTCTTGTAAACAGTCTCATACAAAAGTTGCTAGGGAAAGGACATGTTTTGTGAGAAGCGATAATGGTCATGAATCCACCCACCCCAACACACACATCTTGGCATATGATAAGTTGTCATGTTCCCAGTATCCTTTCCATGATGAAAATGTCTACATTTTCTCTGGATCATTCACTTAAATAGTAGGGCAAGATCTGAGCCCAGTAGCCCTTTAAAGACCAACAAGATTTCCAGGGTTTTAGCTTCCGAAGGACAAAGCTCTCTTCATCAGATACCTTCTGACAAAGAGAGCATTGACTCTCAAAAGCTTACGCCCTGGAAATCTTTTGGTTTTGAAAGTGCTACTGGACTCGAATTTTACTGCAGACCAACACGGCTACCCATCTGAACCTGCCTTTATGCCTGTCCCTTCTTGGGATGAGTCCCTGGAGTTGGGTTGGCATCTGAAACTATCATCACTTGCCCTGACCTGGATAGCCCAGGCAAGCCTGATCTTCTTAGATCTTGGAAGCTAATCAGGGCCAACCCTGGCAAGTATTTGGATGGAAGACCTCCGAAGAATACCAGGGGCGGAAGGCAGAGGCAGGCTATCAAGCCACTTCTCTAAATGTTTTCTATGCCCCAGTAGGAGTTGCCAGAGGTCACCATGACTTCCAGGCACAGGAACACACACATATACAAAAAAATGCCAAAAAAAGGGAAAAAAAGAATCTGTTTTCACTTAAATAGTGTAAATTATGGAAGAGCAGAATGGTGAATGGTTTTTGCTATTCCTGATTATAAAAAAGAAGAAACTTGATTTTTCACACTTACATACGTATTTAAATATTATAATCATAAGTGAAGACAGGTCTGCATAATCTGAAAGGTGGGATTCTGACCTGCTTCTTAGAAGTTCCTACACTTGATACTTTTTTTGAACCTCTAAATGTTACTTGATGCTTCATATGAGAGAACTAGCAGGTTCCTAATTAATTCTGAGCCACTATTTTTTTTAGGTATTTAGAATGCTCTCCACTAGGAAGCTGCTATGTGCATTTCCTGGGACTTTGTGCAGAAAGCTTCCTTCAGTGGGTTGAACTGTCGTTTATACCTTTACAATCCTCTTTCCTGGGAGTAAGCAAGCCCCAGTGAATAACATGGGACTTACTTCTGAGTAGACCTCTTAAGATAGCTTCCTACGTGTGTTTACTTCAAGTAATAACCACCATGCTGTTAAATTTATAGGATCTAACCCCGGAAATGAAAAAATTTGTGGACCAGTATGGGAAGAGTTCTGATGGAAAGATAGGAATAGTAGAGGTAAGAAAGCTTTTTTAAAAAAATTTTTTTAATGCTTCTTCAGGAATACTTCTATGCATGTTGGTCTTCATTTTCATGATACAGAAGTCTCTAAATATTTGTATTGATTTGCTTTGGATGTTACAGAGAAAACATCTTTGGCCCACATTAATCTTGTGACACAGTCCTATGATTTTTTAAAAAAATGTATAGCAGTGATCATATTTTCAGCTGCGAGAAAACTCAAACCCAAAATGGACAATATGAAGAGCAAAATATTGCCAAGGGTACAAGGCAGGATGCCGGATGACTTACAAAATTCATAGTACATCCTAAACAGAGTCACAACCTTCTAAAATTATTGACGTCACTGGCCTTAGAGGGGGTTAGTTGGCTGAGGACTGCCCTATTGATCCCAGAGATGTTTGTTTAGAGTTGCTTTTAATGATGATGATTTGGTACTTTGCTTTTTGATAGGATGTTGGTTGCATTGTTGCTTTTATTCTTCATGTTGTGGTTGTGTCTTGTCAATCATTGAGCATAATACAGCCAAAGTACACTTCTAAATCATATTTATTTCAGTTAGAGAGAGTTGAGGACATGCTTAACTCTTCCACTGCCATCAATAGGACCTAAAGGTGCTGCATTTTGACTGACTTGTTCCCAATAAGTTGGATTGGGTGTGCATGCTGCACTTTGTCATTTTTGAGCTGTTTTTAAAAGATTCTTTGAAACTGAATAATAATAATAATAATAAATGGGCATTTCTTTTCAGTAAACCCTTTCTTATTTAAAATATGTTTGATCACAGATTGTTCCAGAACCATTGTATTCTTTTTGACAGTACAGGAGAAATGTAATTCTAGACTCTAGTTTTTATGCCTATCATTTGTTGTGTGATATCGGTAAAATCACACAGGCTTTAATCCTGACCACTGTAATTGGCCCACTAGAGGAGACGAGCGTTCCGAGTATCTGTTCCGGTAAAGAAGTAGGGGAGTTAAGTATCAAGTCTCCAGTTGCTGATGGGAATCTGAATATTTTGGTAACAAGCCAGTGTGTTCTAAGATATAAACTGTAATCTTATGCACAGGTAATTCGCAGTCAGTCACATTGAACTCATGTATATTGATGCTCAAGTAAACATGCACAGAATTAGACTTCACAAGAATTGTGCATGTAAGATACTATAATTAAACTTGAAGGAATGTATACTTATTTTTAATAATTAAATCATGCAGCCTCATGGAAGCCCAGACACACAGCACATTCAAATGCTACACAGATATGGAAAGAGACTGGCTCCAATCGCAAAAATTTATTCTCAGAAAAGAATGGGAGCATAAAAAAGATAATTACAATGAATGTTGGGAACGAAGCCTCAAATAACAAAATGCATGCATTTTATTCCATCATTTTTGCCTCTCTCTTCAAAAAGATGTAATGGTTATAAAACAAAGCATGAGGAGCTGCAAAGTGCAACTGAAGCCATTTTTATAAGCAGCGTCATGGGGCATTAAGTCCTAGAATGAGTACTTTAAAATGGTGTCAGTACTCATGTATAAGGTTGCACTGATTTTCACTGATTTCCCCCTTCAGGACTTGGGAGAGCCCTGAAAAAAGTGCTGTAACTCAATACCAGTGAGGACTGTCTCAAAAATAGCCCTGCCTAGAACTAAGGCTACACACCTATGCACACTTACATGAGACTAAATCCCACTGAATTATGCAGGGTTTATTTTCAAGTAAGCTCTCATAGCGCCATAATTGCTTGGTCATTAATAAAACCATCTACTGACCATTTGTTGGCTCGTAGAAAATAAGACAAACATAATTCAGACCCAATATTACAGACATTGTCTGCCTCACTTAAAATACCTGGTGCTTTTAATGCTTATTCATTTGCATGCTGCATTGGGAGATTTTAAAAGGAGCACCTGAGGAGTCCATCTTTCTCTTCTTGTTTTTTTTATTATTTTATCTTCTATTCCTGTGGTTGGGAAAATCCAGACAAAGATGGCTTCTAAGATCTTCAAAATCTAACTGGTCTTGTGATAAGAGCTATTGAAATAACAAAGAGCCGCTTGAAGGACTTAACAAAGTACATTTTCAGCACTGCTGCTTAAGTTAAGGGAAGTTTTGAGAACATCTTCAAGAGTGCACATTAGTGTGGTACATCCCTGAGCTTTTATCCATGGCCTTTGGCTAATGTATAGAGCCTGGCGGGCTATGTGTGCCTCTAAAAAGCTCTCCTCCTCCACACTCCACTGGTTACACTGAAATAGAGCTTCAAAAGCTCATCCTTTTAACATATTCGGGTTTCAATTATTTCATGTTCAAATGTGGTGCATTCCTGTGGTCATAAGGGAAAAAGTAATTAGGTGGCAAAGCCTCATAGCTTTTTTCCCTCTCCCTCTTTCCCTCCATACACAGAGAAAGAAAATGTAAATCAAGAAGGCGTCATTTAGTAATCAACATAAGATACAGAAAATAAATAAAGTAAAACTTATCTGGGCATAGATGCATGAAATGACTCTAGAAATAACTCTCCCGTGGTCCTGTAAGCCTGTACAGTTTGTGATTCACCCAGGCCTCATTTCTTTTGACACATTCAGGCTTGGCAATCACACTGTTCTTTCAGTCTCAGACATACATCATATTATTTAGCCTTTGGAAAGCTGCCATTAGTGGTTGGTGGTCTATATTTTTTTGCTTGACGGCCCATAGGAATCCCAGTAAGCCCCGGATTTTGCTCCCTCCTGGGAGTGCAGAAATGAAGCAGAGGGTTGTCACAGTATGAAGGAGGCCAGGAGGATGCATGAATAGCTTTTGGCTTAGCATAGATCAATAGATATTCTGGCTTGTTATAGCACGTGTAATATGTTGATTGATGTTGATTGGTTCAGTTGGTATTATGATCTCAATAATACCGAGCAGGTATTATTCAAATATTATTATTAGTAGTAGTATTTGATTAACGGTTCAGAAATGTAACCAATAAGAAAATGAATGAAGTTTTAGGGTAGAAGAAAATATTTGTTTGTTTGTTTGTTTTCACATCAGAAAAAATGAAGTGTTTAGGGCCCACAAAAATATATGAAATTTTGCCTAAACCAGAAAAAAATGGAAGTATTTAAAGTTATATCAAAAATAATTGTTACTATTGATATTATTATGGTGGGAAGGGCCCACAAAGGCAAAAGTGCCTAGGACCCATGAAAGTCATAAGTCAACCCTGGGTTCAGTTTATGAACAGAATGTGTTGTTAGCTTAAATTAGATTTTAGTCCTAGTCATGGACTCTAGTTGAGCAAAGACCCCAGCAGAGAACTCTGAAGACTTCATGGAACTGTGGGCCCAGGGAAAATCCAGAGTGCTGGAGTAAAAAGGCTAAGACTAAAAATACACACAAGCATGTTCTATTGTTTGTGAGCCAACTTAAAACACTTGATAAAAAGTGAGTTTTTTCCCCTTTAAGTATTTGATGATGGGACTTGTAAGTGGCAACTCAATTATGATTTGAGAGGAAGGGGGGTCATTGCTCATCACTAACCATTTCCCACTCTGCTGCTACACTAAGGAGGGTTGCCAGTCCATTGCTGGCAATGGGCAGGAGGTTTAGGAGAGCAGGGACATGCAAACAGACATTGTTCCAACACTATGATGTCACTTCTGGCATGACCCCAAGTGACTTCATTGCGTCAGTGCAATGCTCTGGGATTTTCCCAGGATGTCCTGTTATCCAGAGTAGCAGGTAAATGATATTGTCATTGCCCTCTCATGGGACAAGAGACCTCAAACCTGGTATGACATGAGATTATGGTGATGTTTTAACTTCACATCATACCAGAGGTCCGAGAATTCTCAGCCAGGTCTAGCTATGTTAGATCCATTCTGTGTTCCACAACCTATTTCTGTAGTTGTCTATTTCTATTCTTGTTAAACTAATAAAATCTTATGTTTTTTTTAAAAAAAGAATTTTAATAGGGTAGAAATTATCCTGATGCTTCCAAAACTTTCTACAGTGGCTCAACCCCTCCCTGTTACATATGGAAAATCAAACATTTAAAACTCAACCAATACCAGCAGGGTAATCCTATACAGAGTTACTGGAGTTACTTTGTATAGAATTGTATTGAAAATGTCCTTGGTGAACGATATACAGAGCAATGGTTTTTGTGTTTCTAAGAAAGCCTTTCAAAGCAGCTGTAATTCTGAATCATGCCTAAAAAACAGGGAATCACTCTCGTCATGTTCAGTGAAAGCTGGGCTTTCAGTACAGACATGCAGAATTATTCCAGTCTAACAGTGCCATCCTAAGAACACTTTCCTGGGAGTAAATAGATTAGGATTCTGAGTAGACTTGTTTAGGATTGTTCTTTAATCCTATTGAATGGACTGTTGGTCTGGAAGGCAGTCCTGGCCTTGGATCCACAATTCCTGAAAAAAAAAATATTAATCAATGCCTTCAGGAAATATTGCACAACTTTTTGTGCTGCCCCCCCACAAATAACTTTTGAAATCACATATTGACTCCTGTAACTACTTCCAAAATTGTACATGTTAGTTCCAAGTTGTAATTCATTTCCAAGTGAAACGTTTTTGTTTATAATCACTGGTCCAGGCAGTTGGAGACATAATGTTGGGTGTTACAATTTAAAACACTTCAGTATTTTCAGGGTTAATGATGTTTGTTAAGTCACATGTTTGTTTGTAACCAATCTGTTTAGACAATAGAATGCCCGGAAACTTTGGAGCTAGTATGTTACTCTGATTGGAAACTAAGGTGTCAAGTATTAGCATTTTATGGCTTCTCTTCCCGTCTCTGTGTTCTTTGTTCTGACTAGAGAAGGAGACGCCATTTCCGGCTCTTTAGATGTAAGGATGTAGGCGTATAAGCTCTTTGTTATTTTATATCCTGTGTACCCTTTTCCCATGTTAGGTTTATAGTAAACTTTTATATTTTAAATACACACTATGGACTCAGTCTCTTAATACTCTGGTGATTTACTCAAAAAGAAT